ATCATACACACAGTAAATAATCCCACTTTCTTTCTTTCTTTTTTAATTTATATTTTATTATTTTCCACGTTAACATGTTTGCAACAAAAAAACTCATACATTTTAAAACAATAATCCACTTTCCAACTCGATTTTTCACAGTGTGAACTGGCAGAATCCGATTCGAAAGTGGATTGAAAACTGGATTATTCAGTGTCTGTGTGACCGCAGCCAATGAGTTGGTGGTTCACAACCCACAACAAATACAGATACACTGTGCGCTCATGGCATATCATACACCGACATTGAGATACAAATAAACATAATAAACTTGACAGTTTGGGCTCACGCAGGCGCTGATAATGATGTACAGGAAATAACTGTTATGTATTGACTTGAATGTAAATACTGACATGCGAATCGCCTCATTGAAACTTAATGTTAAGCTTCAGCCTGGGCTAGGATCCTAATGTAACCAATAGGAGTCCTAGCCCAGAGAGTGTCTACCAATCACGTTGAAAAGCGGGACCGCTTGTGATTGGATATTGTATCTTCAACCTCATAGGTTGTTATCTGTACAGGGGGTGTGGCTATATTAGCCGGGAGTGTTTAAATATCGACGAGCCAGTGTAAATACTTTGATGGGTTCTGGCTGGCGATTGTTGTACCGTAATGGAGAAGTAACTGAGCTGAAGAATAAACCGCATTCTTGCTGAAATCACTCTCCGACTCTTGTTAAGTGCACGACTTAACAATAACCCTGTCTGAGTGTGTGTGTTTCCCCGGCCCAATTAGAGAAAACACTCAGTACAATCCTGTAGAGGAGAATCAGACCTTGTACGGAAGTGGTGGCGGCTACAAGCATGGACGGCTTCAATAGGGAATTAGATAAGCACAAGTGGAGGCCCGCAAGAAACTTGCGGGATGGTTATCTCATTCATCACACCTTTGCTTCCTCTCCTCACCCCTTACCTCTCTCACACTATTTCTCCTCCATGCATGTGACTTCCTCTCTGTTTCTGGCCTGTCATCTTTCTCTTTGTTTTTCTGCCTCCCCACTTCACTCTTTCTCTCTCTTTCTGCCCCCACCCCATCATTCTTTCTTTCTGCCCCCATCACTCTCCCAGCCTCCTGCCTGCTTCCCCCCCCCCCC